AAAAAAAAAGCTTAGAAAACAGTTCTGGAATCTATAGTGTGTTATACAGTATACCCCTCTGTCCACACATCTCCACTTGTAAATGTTCACTGCAATAAGTCATTGGTCTGGTTTGAGGCCTCCTGGCCTCTGGGGCACCATCAATATTAGTTCATCACCAGAACTCCTCTAGGATATTCTGTTGTTTCCCTGTGTCATGGAGATCCTGCAGCTTTGTATCAGCAGGACCGGCCCTTTCACATGCTCCTGCAGTTCATGTGATGAGGTATAATTTAGGGTTGGCTAACTCAAAGACATAGACCTGGACCTGGGTGGTAACTGAGTTAGTTGGTCAGCCTTCCAGCTCTACTATACCCGCACCACCAGGGCCACTCAATGCCACAGCTGACAGTGGTCAGAATCAGCTCTCCTGCTCTCATGCTGTGGCCAGCTCACTCACCCCACCAGAGCCAGCTCCACTGTGCTGCCCAGTTGAGGCTCAGGGCCCACTTTCCCAAATACTCCAGCTGTCAAGGGGCTGGGCCAGCTCTCAGGCTCTCACACCCTCAGGGCTTTTGCTCACCTCCTCTTGGCCATCAGAGCCAGCTCTACTGTTTTACCTAGGTGAGGTGCAGAGCCAGCTCTTGTGCTCTCATAACCTTGGTGACAGCTCTCCTGAAGGTGTCCAGGAAGTGGGGGTGATCATCTCCATCCCATTCCACCTCATAGCAGGTAAGTGGCAGGGCCAGTTCTCAGCCACAGCTCATCTTAGCCTTGGCCATGAGGGCCTGCCCTACTGTGCCACTGAGTTGAGATGCAGGGCTGGAATTTATATTTCAAATTGATTATCTAATACCAAGTGGTCAGCCCCGAAATCATATCAGGCAACACTAAACATACTCAGCATGTTATATTTATACATTTATGCATATGTAACAATGACAATTAGAAACGGAGGCTCTGGATTTGAGAGGGAGTAAGGAGGATGTTGAGGAGCTTTAGGGAAGGGGGGAAGGAGAAAGGGAGATGATGTAATTATATTTTAATGAAAGAAAAGCCTGGTGTGATCATCTCAAGAGAGTGCCCTTCAGGTAGCACACCTGGGCACTAAGAACTATAGAATTCCCCCCCCCCCCCCCACTGTGCAGTCCTCAGGAACTGAGTCCAGGTCGCCTTTTCCCTTAATATTTGCTTCTGTGAAACTTTTAAAGGAAATTCTTATTTTATTACTTTGTGTTTATGGCTGTTTTGCCTGCCTATGTGTGCCTTTGTGTGTATGTATGTGCATGCGTGTGTGTGTGTGTGTGTGTGTGTGTGTGTGTGTGTGTGCCTGGTGCCTATGGAAGTACTGGCTTGTTTTGCATGTCAACTTGACACAAGCTAAAGTCACAAGAGAGGGAGGAGCCTCCATTGAGGAAATGCCTATATGAGATCCAACTGTAAGGCATTTTCTCAATTAGTGATCAGTGGTACAGGGCCCAGCCTATCCTGAGGGGTGCCATTTCTGACTTTGTAGTCCTGGGTTCTATTAGAAAGCAGGGTGAGGTTATATTCATACATGGTCTTTGGTTGGAGAAACAGTCTCATAAAAGACCCTTGTGCCATCATATATTTGGTCCTTGTGGAGCTCCTGTCCTTTCCAGGTCACACTAACTCCCCCTTCTTTCATATGATTCCCTGCACTCTGCCAAAGGTTGGTTATGAGTTTCAGCATCTGCTTGGATACACTGCTAGGTAGAGTCTTTCAGAGGCCTTCTGTGGTAGGCTCCTGTCCTGTTACTTGTTTTCTCAGTATCCAAGTAGGTGCCCCTAGTAAGGGGAAGAGGGATTATTTCTGACATGAACTCAATGGCTGGCTTATGGACCCTCCCCACCCCCAAGGGAGGAACACTCTTGCTAGGCCACAGAGAAGGACATTGCAGCCGGTCCTGAAGATACCTGATAAGCTAGGGTCAGATGGAAGGGGAGGAGGACCTCTCCTATCAGTGGACTTGGAAAGGGGCAGGGAGGAGATGACAGAGGGAGGGGGCTACAGCTGGGATACAAAGTAAATAACCTGTGATTAATATAAAAAAATAAAAATTATTAAATAAAAGAAAGCGGGGTGAGCAACCATGTGAATCGAGCCAGTAAGTAGTACCTCTCCATGGCCTTGGCATCAGCTCCTGCCTCCCGGTTCCTGCCCTGTGTGACTTTTTGTCCTGACTTCATTTGGTGATGAACAGCAATATGGAAATATAAGCAGAATAACCCTTTTCCTCCCCAACTTGCTTTTTGGTCATGGTGTTTCGGGGCAACAACTATAACTGTGACAGAACCTCTAGGAGTGAAGGTACAGACATTTAAAGCAGCTCTAACAGTATCTTTGTGTCTGTGAAATACATATGCATTCCACGCTATCTACAAATAGATGGTTTTACTTATCCTTCAAGATTTGAATGTGTTTTAGCTCTTTCTAGTTAGTATTTCCATGCTATGTCGAACAGGAATGGGTTTCCCTTACTTGTCCCTGATTGTTAGAAAAAGAAAAACTTTGAATTTTTTGATTGTTGAGTACTTTTCTTGTGCAGCCTTTATTATGCTGATATAATTGGCGTTTCCTTCTTCGTTTCTGGGTTTTTTATTTTTATTATGACAGCTGTTGGATTTTGTCAGTTTATTCATCTATTAAGCTGGTCATGCTATTTTAATTCTTTGTTCTACTAACATAGTGTACCACAATGATTGATTTTCATATATTGTACCATTTCTATGTTTCTGGGATAACTCCAACTTGGTCATGTTTTTTTTTTTTTTTCTGTATTTTGTTGAGGATTTTGAATGTATATGTAAAAGAGATGTTGGTCTTACATTTATTTTTGCATAATGTCTTTTCATTATCTTTGGCATCAGGGTGATGCTGGTTTCATAAAATGAGTTCTTCAATTTTCCTTTCAGCAATTTGAGAAATAATTATATTTTCTTCTGTAAGTGTTTGGCAAAACTCACAAGTGAAGTTCTCTGGCTCTGGTATTTACTGAGTGTTTTGATTATTGATGTCATCTCTTTGTTGAGTTCAGAGTTTCTATTTTATGTTTGAATATCTGTAGCTTATATTTCCAAGACTGGATTTCTTCTGCATTAATGGATTTTATGGTATGATTTTGATAATGGTAATTGTGCACTGGTTAGAACAGCTTTTGTTTTATTTTGAAATTCTGGTCATATATTTATGAGTATGTATATGTTGATGTAGATGTTGATGTATATGATGTACTCCATTGCAGTAAATCTTAAAAGGGAAGTGAGACAGGGTCTCACTCTGTAGCCCAGACTGGCCACAAGCTTGTGAGTGGCCCTCCTCTTTCTGCTCCCTGAGTGTAGGCTTCAGGTATACAGATGGCCCTCTCTGAAGGACAAACCTAGCCTATTTCTCTCTTAGTTTAAAACTTGTGTATTTTGATTTTTTAAAAGTCAAATTTAGTTTTATTGATTTCTTTATATTGTCTATTCCTTAATTCTGTTATAATCTCTATCATTTTTTTTTTCTAAATTTGGGCTTGTTTTTCTTCAAATACCATGAGTTGCAGAGCTACATTTTCTATTTGAGCTATTCCACATAAAAAAAAATATTATTACAAAAACTCCCTTTAGTGCTGTTTTGGCTATGTTTAATACATTTGGCATATCGTGTTCTTGTTTTCATTTATCTCAAGATATTTACTGATGTATCTTTAATTTCTTCTTTGACTCATCAGTTGTTAATGAGTATGCTGTTTATTTCCATATGCTTGTGAGTTTTACTTCTTTCATTTTGTTACTTATTTTTATTTTCCTAGAATTGTGGTCTGAAAAGATGTTTGGTGTGACTTCAATCATCTTCAACTTGTGAAGATTTCCTCAGCTAACTCTTTTATGATGTATGACAGATAGAGCCTTTGTGTTCCCGAGAAGAATGTGCCCTTTACTGCTATTGGGTAGAATATCCCAAGAGTCTGGTGTGTTCATTGATCTGCAGTGTCGCTCCCTGATCTGTTCCTTTGCTATATGGTGTCTTCTATCTGTTACTGAGAGTGGGGATTAAAATATATTATTTATAGAGTTGCTGTTTCTGTTAGTGTCTGTTTCGTATTTTCAGGTATTCTGATGGTGGGTACTATCCTGGCGAGGATATAAATTGTCCTCTACAGGCTAATGCGAACACGTGCTTTCCAGTTGCTGGGGCTGCTTTGGAAGGTGGGGCCTAATTTCACAAAACCCACCCACTCAGGAGTCAGGTCTGTAGCCCAGCCCCACTTCCTGTCTGTTCTGTACTTCCTGATCTGTGGAGGTGTAACATGTCATATTGTAAGCTCTCACCATATTCAGCAATGGAGCCCCAGCTCCCGCTCCTCCACCCACATAAGCCTGAGGTAAAATCCTTCAGATATATACACATTCATCATTGTTTCACCTTACTGATGAGTTAGTCATTTTGAATAATGTAACATTTTACATATATATTCTTTTACTCTTTAAATATAAGCATGCTATCCTACAGTGTTGTGGTTACTATTTTTCCATTTAGATCTGAGTAGAATCATTTATAGATGCCATAAGGTTGGTTCATTGTTGTTGATCCATTCAGGCGTCTACGTCTTCTGA